TTATCCCTGCAGAGATGGAGATATGTATCCTTTTGATTAAAGTATACTTATTCCGCGAAAGCCCACCACCTCAGTTTCCTGTTTACAACTTCAAATACAAAACCCCATAAGTTTTTTTTGCAAACAGTTACCTTTTGAAAAATATGAATTATGATGACAAAACCCGTGGAACCTAATGTATTTCTCATCAACAAAGTAGCAGACTTGTAGATGTCCAACTCGGAAATAAAATACTATCGCTCGCCTGCCCATGCTTGAAATATTCTGTGTTCAAAGAACAATAGTTATGCCTTTATTATATGGACTAACAAAAATGCAAGTGCATTGCAACGGGAGAACAATTTATTATATCATCGGCATCACGGGTGTTGTTGCATGGTGAAGCCGTGTGTGGCACAGTGGCCACAATAGCACGCACGCCTAGTGTCGTCGGGCACGGCCAAACAATGTAGGACGCCGGTGCGCCAACCATTAAGACATGGGCTAGCATTGCGCAACTACGTGATAGGGCGGCACAGCGCTCGTGTGGCGTGACTCTTGTGGTGGCTGAGCGGATCAGGCTCCTTGCAGCGGCATAGGCATGGCCTGTCGATTGCAATCGAGAGAGCGTGCAACCCTTATGGTGCTCAGAACGATCTAGAAGAGTGACGTCCATGTGAGATCTAGTTGTGCCATTAGTGCCCACAACGACGCAACACGCAACAGTTGGTGCTGATAAGCCTGGCAAGGAGTAGATGTATCACGTGAGGGTCAATCAATTGCTCCACGTCGGTCTTCTGAACCGTAGGTCCACATAATTTCAGTATGCTTGATGTGTCTTTTGCCTTGTCTCATCATTATTGATCTCCTATGCTCTCTCGAGGGCTCCGATTCTTATAGGGTCATAGGTCTATGACAATCTATAGCGCACGTGCTAATGAGACTCTAGAGGTGTAATGGGTTTGGACCTAGGAGAGGGAGCAGAACAAAGCTACCTCGTTCGGCACGAAGATAAAACGGGTGACAAACACATTGATTAGGAAGCGGACAGACGAATGTAACTTGAGCAAATGATATAATGGATGCAACAAATTAGTGGTGAAAAATATTTATTAAAAGAATAGAAGATACTTTTTTTACGCAAAAACCGTGGGGGAGTTCCCCAAGGTGAATCAAAAAATTTATAAAAAGGCAACAAAACAAAGGGGTCCAGGAGATACTTACAAGGAGAGAGAGAGAGGGGGGGAGGACTTTACAGAATTACAACTGCTCAATAGAAAAAGGACAGGGAACAAAGAAAAGGAAGAAAAATTACAACGCGTCAAGCCATAAACAGACTAGGACTCTATCTGAATCTTTTAAGCGGTAGGACTGAAGACCAGCTTCCTCCTTGAAATTTCGTAGCCATCTGCTGAACGTAGCCTGTATACCGTCAAATACCAACCTGTTCCTGATCTTCCAAAGTTCCCAAGCAGCAATGAGAAATATCTCCATGAAGAAGGGCAATCCAGCCATCTGTCTGCTACGTTCAATTCTTTTGGAGAGATCATCCTCTGTGACCCAGCTAACTCCCAATTTATCCCAGCATTGCTTAGGAAAACGACATTGGAAGAAGAGATGATCAATGGTCTCCTCCGTGCCTTCGTCACATAGAACACATAAACTGTTGGGCTGCACGTTGAAATTTCTTCTAGCAAGCATATTTTTTGTGTTTAATCTGTCTAGCAGGATTAGCCAGCGCGAAGAATTTAACCCTGGGGGTTACTTTGGACTTCCAAATGAAACGAAAATCAGCCGGTGTCTGCATAGTTAGGAATGCTAACTTATAGAGCTTGGCAGCCGAATACATACTGCTGCCCCAACAAAAGATTCTCATGTCAGTGTCCTCAGACAGCTCAAAGGAGTGTGCTAAAGTTCTCAGGTCGTCCAGCTCAACTGCTGCTGCTTGTGATATAGGGATATGAAATAAATTATCAAGACTTTCAGCTTCACAAACCTCTTTGACTGAGATGTCTGGATGCTTAACAAACATGGCAATATTAGGGAACAGATCAATGAGAATTTCACCTGCCCAATTATCTTTCCAGAAGAGGACCGAGGTGCCATCCCCAAGCTGGCAAGTAGTAATAAAACCATAGAGATCTTCAAGCCTAAAGACATCTTTCCTTCTTTTTGAGAATGAGGAACTCTATTGTTGTAGTTCTTGAACCATACTTGCAGCACCCATGGGACATCTGCCTTAGGATAGAATTTATGCAGCTGTTTCATCAACAAGGCATCATTTTGTAAAGCTAGATTTTTTATTCCAAGACCACCTTTTTGCTTTGGTCTTTGAGCAAGTAGCCAAGCAACCAAGTTACCACCCTTCTTTCTTTCAGAATTCCCTCTCCAGAGACACTGTTTCCTAATTCTATCAATGCTATGGATCACACCTTTATGGAGCTTGAAGGTGCACATAGCATACGAAACTGTGGGAGTGATAACAGTGTTAATATATTCCACTCTGCCAGAGTAAGAAAGAAGAGAAGAGCAAGCTGATAGTTTCCTTTCAACTCTGTCCAAGAGTGGAGCAAATTCTTCTATCTTTGGCTTAGTAGTCCCATGAGGCAAGCCTAAATAAGTGAAGGGGAGAGATCCGATCTGACAACCCAAAGTTCCAGCAAGAATCATCATTTTTTTCATTAGAGACATTTATCGGCACTAGAAGAGATTTTTTCAAAATTTACCACCAACCCTGTGGAAGCAGCGAAGGAATTCAAAATTGCTTTAAGACAGAACAACTGCCTAGCATCAGCTTGCATGATTAATAAGGTGTCGTCCGCGTACTGAACAATAGGAAAGTCAGTGCCTGGCTGCAGGATAAGAAGTTTCAGAACACCTTTGTCTTTTAGCCCATTGATGATGTACTGAAGAATTTCAGCAGCAAGAACAAACAGCAGTGGTGACAAAGGGTCACCCTGCCGTACACCTCTCTTACAGTTAAAAACTTTGCCGGGCACACCATTAAGCAAGACAGATGAGGAACCAGTGGAGAGAATCATCTTTACCCAATTAATCCATAGAGATGGAAATCCCAGGTGAGAAAGCATCTCAATGATAGCTGAATGTTCTACCGTGTCAAAAGCTTTTGCAAAATCCAGTTTCACAATAACTATTTCTTTTTTAGACTGCTCACACTAGTGGATATACTCAAAACTCCAGGCTAAACAGTCCTGGATTGTTCGATGCTAAATGAAACCGTACTGATACTTGCCAATAATTTAGTGATCATTTTAATACAGCAATTCAGTAGAGAGATTGGGCGATAGTCAGATGCCAAGACCGGGTTACTATGTTTGGGAACAAGCACAATGTGTGAACCATTAATGGGAGCAAGATTCACCTTATTGTCAAATAAATCAAAGAATAATTTATACATATCTTCCCGAATGATAGGCCAACACTTCTTAATAAACATACCATTAACCCGGGGCTTTATCAGTAGGCATGATCTTTATAATGTTATCAATCTCAGCAACAGAGAAAGGGGAAGCAAGACTGTCTAACTGTGCATCATCATTGATATGTACCAGTGAACCAAGATCAAAATCCATTGAAACATTATTAGAGAAACCCATCCTATTTTTGAAGGAGCACCACAAATGGTTGACCTTGTCCTCATGGTGAATTAAAGAAACACCATAGTCATCTTGTATCTGGGCAATCATGTTCCTTCTGTAAGAGATAGTTGCCATGGAATGAAAATATTTGGTACACTCATCACCATGCTTTATTCTATTGATGGTATTTCTCTGTTTCCAATACAATTTCTGCTGCTCCAGAAGCCTACTGAACTGCTTTTGTACTGATCGTGTCAAGTTCCATTCAGTGTTAAAAAGAGGCCTAAATTCCTCAAGAGTATCCAAATATAGAATTACTTTGTTGCAGTTTTCAATGAGCAACTTGAGATTGGAAATGCCCTTGCTCCACTGTTTCAGATCATACCTCAGCCTCTTGAATTTAGCTGATAGAACAGATACAATGTTGTCCCTGTTGCTGGTAGGCTGTACCCAAGAATGCTGCACAGTGCTGAAGAAGGAACTGTGAGTTGTCCAATAGTTTTCAAAACGAAAAATGTTGGATTTAGGAATCTTTGTTCCAATGGAGATTTTGCATGGCACATGATCAGAAGTTGGTCTGGCTAGAGGGGTCACCATAGTATTTGGGAAATCCGAAGTTCAGTTCACAGATGTGAAAAACCAATCAAGCTGCTCTAAAAGAGGATTGGACTGCATGTTACTCCAAGTAAAAGCTCTTCCTTTCAAAGGTAACTCAACTAACCCCAAGTGGTCTATCACTTCGTTAAAAATCTGAGTATCCTGAAAGTTACCACTAGCTCTGTTTCTATTTTCCAGAGATCTATAAAAATTAAAATCACCAATCAAGATCCAGTTATCATTATCCTGAATATCCAGATTACGCAGCTAGGACACGAAGGTGGAGCGAGCAGGTTCTAAGCATGGGCCATAAACAGTGGTGAGATTCCAAATATTAAGATCAAGCCTGGAGGAGAAGCTTACTGAGATAGCAAAAGGTTTAATCTCAATAACTGAAGGAGCAAAGATAAACTTATCAAATCTTTTCGGAGCAAAGTTCCTGATGAACGAGGGATCAAAGCTTTCTTTCTTAGTTTCTTGAAAACAAAAGATCTCACAGCTACTTTCATCAATTTTGCTACGAATACTAGGCCATTTCTCAGCAGCGTTGATCCCCCTATCATTACAACATAAGATGTTCCAAGATCTATTCATTGGGGAAACCAAAATACAGAGCGAAAGCATAACAACCTTCATAGAAGGTCATTAACACAGTAATAGCAAATAAGAGCACCATGGTAGCCAACGACATAATATCAACCCACATAGTACCAGCGTACATCACATGCAACTTAAAGGTAAAGTAGCCAACATAGACATCGACAATATATCAAAGACTGGTCAACAAAATAGAACGGCAGCCAGCGCAGATAACTTGGTGCGACATTAATCCTGATCTTCAGAGCGCCCTTGCATAAGGGCATCCTCCGAGAGCTCCTCAGGAGGCACTCCGCATTTGACACCCCACTCGCGGAGGTTGTCGAGTGGGATCGGGTTGGCAGCTTCTTCTGCATTCTGGGGGGGCTGATCCAGGTCAGTCACCAATGCCGCCGTCTTCCTTCTTTTTGAGGCAGGTTCTTTGATTTTGACAATCTGAAAGCCATCTTTAGCCTGAGGATTCAGACGCGAGCTCCTTCTAACCATAGTGTCAACTAGCGGCGTCTTAGAACCCGGCTTCTTGAAAACGATCACTGGGATGGATATAGGCCTAACAGGAACCCTTCCCTGAGCAACGTCCTTGTCAGCAAACAGAAAAACCCACAGCCTGATAAGAATGCAATCCATGACTGGGGCAACTGAACAGATAGCCTTCTTAACATCTTCCTTCCATTCCTGCACCATCTTCTCCCGTGTGAATGCCAGAATATCATCCACAGCAAGCTTCTGACACGCCTTGACAATGAATGATGGAATGATCAGGTGTGCACTTCTGTCAGAGGTCACAACACCCGAGTCATTGGAGGACGAGGACCCACCACTGTTCTGAATTCCAGCAAGAACTTCTTCCACAGACAGATGAATGTCAGGGCCAGTCGCCCTAAGATAGTTAGTAGTACTGCCTGACTGATTGAATGTAATATTATCCTGTGGCTGATCAGGGTGCTGAGGGACCCAATTCTCCACCACATCCATCTCCATCTGATCATCATCTTCAGCATCTTGGTCCACTTCCATACCATTGTTCTGATGAGCAAAATCATGACCAACGGGGTTGATCTCCAAGTTGCACCCTGTTCGCTTAGATCGTTTCTTTGGCTTATAAGCTGGTTGATGCTGTTTTGTTGTGAGATAAAAACACTGTATCATGGCTGATAAGCATAGCTGATACAATTAAGTGAACAGGGTGTTGATGTCCTGCATCTGTTGCACATTAATCCCCAGGTCACCAAGCGCCTGTTCGGAGGCGTCCGGCGCTTGCAGTTCCCGAGGGGATGTGAACGTATCCCCAGTCAATAACGACTCTTGATCACTAATGGGCCCCCGGACCAATGGATATTTGGGTTTCCAGCATAACTTAGGAGAGGATTCAGTATAGCCCAGCATAGGAGATTTGGGCCTCCAGCAAAGACGCCTTCTCATCGGCCGTAGTTATAGCATTTTATGCAGCGAACAATGAAGCGACAGTCTCGGGACAGATGACCCCGCCGTAAACACTTAGAGCACTGCGCAGAATTAAAACGAGATATCCCCCAATCTTCAGCTTTATTAGACTGCTCATAATTATCAGCATCGGGTACCGAGCCAGAAATCAAATTAGCCGAAAGAATATCCTTTTTCAAGGCAGACTTAATGAACGAGCTATCCAAGGGCGGCAGCCTGGCAGTCTTCTGAACTGACCTGTCCTCTGAAACGAACTCCAACTGAACTGAGTTGAACTGAGCAGAGTTGTGCAGAGCCCTACCATTCTCAGGGGGAAGAACAGTGAAGGGCTCGAAGGAAGAATCATAGATATCAACCGACATTTTGAACTCCCCAAAAGAAATAAACTGAACTCTGGGAGTAGGAGGAGCAAATTTTTTGACCGGAGAAGCAAGAACAAGCTTAGGCGCAAAACGAACTTTCTTAGCAGAAGCATTAGCAGACTGAGACTTGGCATTGCGTTTCTGACATTTAGAAAGAACTAACGTCCATTTTTTAGCCTCCTCTTCTTCCCACAATCTCTTCTCACGTTCCCAGTGCGGAACACCATTGTTAAACAGATGAAAATAAACATCAAAAGTTTCACCAATGAATCGTCTCAAAGCACAAACATGAAAACCCACAGCCTTGCAGGACACTGAGAATCGGAAATGATTGTGACTAAGTTCCACCACGTGAAACTTTGATGCAAGCCCTCCCAGACAGGATTGGAGCGCCAGAGAGACACTGTCTTCCGTAAGCCGAAAGAGAAAACGACGAAAAGCAGCCAGCAAGAAAAACGAGCCTCTAGGGCTAGGAGAATCATGGTGCACCTGGACGCCAAAGCGACGATGAACTTCACGCTCGAACTCTTCGCCAACAGAGAAATCCATACGAGCCACCAATCCAGATGACGAGCCCATGGCCACCAGTCAGAGAAGCACCAAGAGAGGGGAGGCCTAGCGCTGAATAGAAGATACTTGTTACTAGAAAAGAAATACTCAAGTCGTTTAGTATTGGAGATAGAAGCGTAAGTAAAAAATAAAAATGAGATGTACACTTGGAAAAAAAACAAAACTATGGAAAGAAAACTCGGAGTAGACAGAAACTTTGGGAGAAAAGAAGGGGAAAAACATGGAAAGAAAATAAATGAAAGGTTCAAAAAAGAAAAAAAGATGCAAAAACAGGGAAAAAATATGGACGAAAATAAAAAATAGAACCAAGTGAAAAACAGAATCAGAAAGAAAAAAACAAAAAAGAGATTCAATGTAAAGGTTTGAAGGTGGTAGAGGGTAAATAGAAAACGATCCATTGACATCACGTGAGTTCACATGGTCTAGTGATTAGCAATTGTTAATTGCATGGTGGAAGGCACGGTTTGAATCCTCGTGTGGCCGGAATTTTTGTCTGGTTTTCCAGTTGTTTTCCTGATGGGTGGAGTGGACTGGGCTGAAAAATTGACCGGACAGTCTGGTAGCTGGAGTTCCCTCGCTTGCGCAGGTGGGCCGTGAGTGGGCCGGCAGGACAGTCAGTAGCTGGAGCAAATCACGAGTGGATTGAACAGTTAGGCCAGATTAGAATGGGCTGGAAAAAACGAACCAGAAATTTTGTCTCTTTATTATTAGAAGATAGATTCCAAGTAACCAAAACAATCGTGTTGTTCAGCGGTTAAACATTGCAACAGTATATTGTATCCTTATGTTTTCAACATAAAGACAAGAAAATAGATGGAACCAGTAACTGAAGGCGATGAAGCTAGAGCATATCGAGGAGCTCCGACTTGAAAACCTGACCCAAACCCAACCGAAATCTCAGTCTCAAGATGGGCCATTCACCAAGAAGCTTAGTAAGAATGGGAAGTAAAGATGTCACAATGCAGATCGCAACAGCCAGCCATGGAAGTTGAGGAGCCAGAACAGTGTATAAACCAGTTGCGAATGCGGTGGTGGTTGCCATGAAAGCAAATCACATAAGCTTCATGGTAAAAGACCTGTAGTAAAGCAAGAACTCAAGATCCTCCCATCTTGCTATGACGCATATGAAGGCATCAGCAAGTGAGGAGCACATTGCCAATGCATTAGAGATCAAGAATGCCTTAAACGCAATCTTCCTTGCCATGATGGGAGGCCCCTCGTTTCCAGCATCAGTGATGTATCCTCCAGGCAAAGTGAATGCAGCAGCAAAGGTAATCGTAGCGATGAGGATCGCCACTACGGAAGTGTTGCCTGTGTATGTTTGAGTCAGTGACTTGATATCCTTCCTTGATAAGTTGGTCACTTCATCCTTGGCGTCCTTGAGGAGATTAAAAATAGGAGCACTTTGAGGATCAGCTTTCAGCATGCGTTTGGACACTTCATTCTGCTTAAGGTTAAAGAAACATTTTGCATTAGTGTAAATAAAAATGGGAATGGTGCTTGCATTAATTAATATAACACTAATGGAAAAAAATGAAAACCTACTACTCCATAGTTTGTTGTCACGGTTGCAGAAATCCAAATAGTCATTTATGTTTAAAATCTGTCTTTTCATTCCTTCAAAGTGGATCTTAGTTGTTGTTTATGGGAACTAGTAAACTGCGCCTGCGCTTTGGCATTGTTTTCACACTAGTACTAACTAGTCCATGAAGCCATTCTCTCGCATGGGTTAGAATCAATGTTAGTTACTGCTTAATACCTTTAACTAATAAAAGTTACTTATATCAAAATGTATGTTTTTCTTTGTCTATTTTTCTAATACAATAGGTATAATGTATACTCTATAGTCCCTATCTAGTTGTGATAAACTTATCAATTACTGAACATAGCTTAAACTAAATATTTTTCATCCATATCTATAGTTTTAATCTTATTAATTGCTAAAACAATTTATCCTCAAATAAAGTTGAAATTCTTGTACTTATAATATCTATTATGAACTCTACTTTTGTACTATGATGACATAAATAATCATTTATAACCGGCATCACATTGCGTAATATCAGTGCTAGAGTTTGAAGTGAGATCTAGAATGGGGTAGTGGTGCTAATCTTATGAGGATATTAATATCTAAGCTTTATAATGACTATTTACTGTAAAGAACTTTTAAAGGACAAAAGGTATACAACTACCTACGATCTGCACTAACCTCTGTTTTTAAAGTGTTTGAATTTCTTATGAAGGAATTATATGTGTAATAATGGTTATACTATCAATATTGATATGCCATACGTTTTTGTGAAAATGTATACATAAATCTAAAGTAACAACTTATATGAATTACATGTCATGGATATTAAAATAATTGTCACTAATTTTTAGTATCATAAGAATATGAACCATTAAGAAAATATTTTCATGATCGTTGAAACATAACATATATCATTCATGCATGCATGTGTACTTGATCCACATGATGGTACAACATGTATGTATACTTTAGTCAAAATTTAATATATTAATATTAGTAGAATTGGGAAATACAGAAAAATATATATGTATTATGGGTATTTAAACATTTTTAATAGATAATGTTGATAATATAGATGTGGATTTGAGAAGATATTTATGTTTTTTAAACAATGTGAAAAGTGTTAATTGAGATGCAAATTCAAAGGGTTACATAGATTATCAATCATAACAACAAGTGTGTACTTAGATGCAAATTTACGATAACATGTGGGTATTATCATGTTTCTTAATAGCATAGGTGGGTAATCTATTATTATTATTAGATCTATATAGTTCATACCGATTAACTGCATTTACTTTTTCTAATGCTCAACTCTCAGTGAGCCACGTCAGCTCAAGTCTCAACACAATGGTTCCCCCGCTTCAATTTTTGTAACCATTGGATCACAATTTGAAAATGAGCTAGACACGTCTGTCCATGTGCCACTCCGCTCACCTCCCACAGAGCTGAGAATTCCCACTTGCGCTTACTTGCTCACTTGCTATCTCTCAATAACTCATTTAATTAATAATGATGGCAAGATAATCAGTAGCCAAGCATGGGCTCCAACAAAACTGTAATCGGTGGAATGTGGAGAATGGCGTTGAGTAGCCGAAACGATGGGAGAAATAGCTGGCCATATATATATTTTGCGCAGCTTCAACATCACTAGGCCATGAACTATATAGATCCCATTAACTGCATTTACTTTCCCGCCGCTGGTGATATATACATATAGCTCACGTAGTCATGCTCCTTCCTTTCCCGCCGCTGGAAGCACGCTGCTCCTGCAGTCTGAAAGCAAAGCACCTTGCTCCTGAATGCACTAGACAGCGATATTTCTAACTAAGAACACAGGCTTCAACATCACAAACCTAAATGATGTTACGGTGCTACATACATAGTTGAGCTGTAAGCTGGATGCAAGCCATGGTGGCACAGTAGGTGAGCTGTCATCCTGTGCAAATTATGTGGTCACCTCAGTCCATGGGCCGACAAACAATGCCGACAAAGCAACCTTTCTCAGTGAACTGATTGCCAACCAACCGATATCCAGCATGCCTTGGGTCTGCCTAGGGGATTTTAATTTGATCTATGAAGCCCAGGACAAAAACAATAACAATCTAAACCGGATGCAGATGAGAAGGTTCAGGCAAGCTTCGTCGGCGTACAATGTCCAGTTTGAAGGCCAATTAGCTTGGTTCTCCCAACTGTTGACAGCCGGAAACAAAACAAGCCACAGCCATGGTTTTTTAGGCGTTGCCTAGGCATTGAGGCATACCCCGGGCGCCGCAGGACGCCACAGGGTTTTAGTTATGCCATACCGCCTAGGCGTCGCCTAGAAGGCGCCTAGGCATCCAGGCGTACCCCCAACGCCACAGGACACCGCAACGCCTCAAAAATCATGGCCACAGCTTGGCTATCTTGACTCTATGCAGCATTTGGAAGCAAAGAAACTCAGTGGTGTTCAGGGATTGCAGAAAAGGGAACCAGACTCTGTTCTCGGACTTGAAGGATTTGTGCAGCAGTGGTCTTTAGCGGGAGGGCACTTTCTGAAGCCCCTCATAGTTGTGCAAAATCCCAGTGTGTAATAATAAGTTTTGAAATATTTCTGTACCCCTTGTAGCCTAGGCTGTGAGGGGGAGCACTTCTCGTGCATGTAATAGTTGTTGCTAACTCTCTCTTATTATAAATCAAAGCTGCGTAACCAGATTTTTCAAAAAAAAACTTCTTTTTTCCAATGTAATATAAAATTGCTCTCTGCGTAGCAACGCATGGGGAATTCAACCAGTATAGCAAGATATGATTGATGCAAAGGACATGCTGAATTCCAGAAGTGCATATGGGTGGTAGGAGAACATGGCATTGCAAATGATCGGCATGCATACTGATTTATGGACTAACGTGAGAGAAAACATACGCACCCAGTTTAAAGTCTTGGCACGGTCGGTGGGTAATGTCCTGTTTATTGGGCAACCATTGTTGTTAGAATGTCTCGGTGAAGCAATAAAGCAGCCACCATCTTTGGATCGCACTTCTGGACTGCGACATGCAGAGCAGTGTCTCCATTTTCATCTCGCATGTTAACGAGTTTCTGAAGCTGTGGCAAACCCAGCACAAACTTTACGAACTCCGTCTGTTGAGACTGTACAGCTATGTGCAGACATGTCGAGCCTCTTGTATTGTAACATGGAGCATCTGGACAATGTTTAAGAAGCTCCCGAGCAACATCAACATGGCCACGATATGCGGCAGAAACAAGAAGAGGGTTACCTAATGTCGAGACTTGGTACCCTAAAGACCGATCGTGTTCCAACAATACACTTAGCACGTCACTCTTGTGCCAACATACAGCCAGATGCATTGGAGTGTTGCTACTCTTGTCTTCTTCTCTGGCAAGCCAATGACGTGCCTCCATAATCTTTTTAGCGATGGCTGCGAATCAAGCATGCAGTAAGGACGGTTAGCAACCATGGAATAATGGCAACTGCATGTATGTATTAGTTAAAGATGAGTTTTGGTAAAAAAATAAATAAATATGTTGCCCTCTTGTGTAGTAGGTCACACCTGAATTACCGTTCCACACCGAAGCATGCAGAGCATTCATGCCATCGGCTCCTCCATGAGCAGAATCACGAATCTCAAATATCGAAGACATCCTCGTATTTCCTCATCACCATGATGAACATGGGTGACTCACCGTACTGGTTCACATAATGCGACAGGGCAGGCTCTGCTTGTATCAGCTCCAGCGCGAGCTTCCTGTGTCCGTTGCGTATGGCGTGGTGCAGCGCATTGCATCCACGCTTGTCTTGCTTCAGGATCGCCCCACTCAGCTGCTGATCACGACAGCACCTGAGCAAAACAGAAGCTACAGAGAGACATCCACTCGCCACGGCGGCAAGCAGAGGGGTCTCGCCGTCCGAGTTGATGGCAGTGAGGAGTGACGGGTTCAGAGCCTGGACCTCCTTACAGAACACTTCGTGGCCATGGATGGCGGCGATGTGGAGGCATGTGTTTCCCTGAGGAGTGGTTCCAAGCACGCCCGGAACATGCAGACACAGGTGCCTCATTTCTGCGACATGACCAGATACTGCTACTTCCATGGGTCGTTCCATCCCCGGAGGATGTACAGCTTATTACACAAACAAACAGGAGTACGTTTTAACAATTGACATAACATACACGATTACACGGAGAAACCATACATACCGAAGTGAACTCTGCGTGGATACTTAGATTACTAAGGTACAACTGTAAAACAGCGACCATGCTCATCATTGTTTGTCTTTTTCGTTCGTCACCTGCTGGCATTATTCTGGCTGCGAGTTGCAGAGCGGTTTCTCCTGTGTCATTGGGCAGGTTAATAAGATGCTGAAGTTGTGGAGATCTCGCGACAAACCTCACAAAATCTTCCTGACCAAATGATATAGCTATGTGAAGACATGTCGAACCCATTGCGTCGAAGTAGGGAGGATCAGGACAATGTCTAAGAAGCTCTCGAGCAACACCAACATTGCCCTCAGATGCTGCGATACAAAGAAGAGGAGCACCATCACCATCTGTGGAGATGAAATAACCCAAAGACGGATCATGTTCCAACAATACTCTAAGCACGTCAATCTTGTTCTCAATTGCGGCCAGGTACATTGGTGTGCCTAGCCATGGACGTGCCTCCATAACCCTTTAAGCCATAACTTTTCTTCATTTCCTTGTCTGACTAGCCATGGACGTGCCTCCATAACCCTTTTAGCCATAACTGAAACAAAACCAAGGCAAGAAACAGGCTATAGGTGACCAAGCTGAGGACATATAGTACTGTATTAGATATCAAGTGTCTGTTAATAAAGTAATAAATGAATTTCACAGCCTGTAGGCGATGCATAGGTCTCACCTGCATTACCACTTGTCACGGCAGCATGTAGAGCGTTGCACCCATGGGGTCCCCCATGAGCCGCATCAGGAATCTGCAACAGCTTCTCCAAGACGTCCCCATAATCTCTCGTTACCGCGATGAACATGGGTGACTCGTAACATTTGTTCACAGCTTTCGATAAGGCGGGCTCTGCTTCTATCAGCTCCAGTGCGAGCTTCCTATATCCCCTGAAGATGGCATGGTGCAGTGCGTTGAATCCACGCTTGTCTTGCTTCAGGATCGTCTCGCTCAGCTGCTGATCACAGCAGAACCTAAGTAAAACAGAAGCTAAAGTGGCATGGCCCCTAGCCACGGCGGTGAGCAGCGGCGTCTCGTCATTGGCATTGATGGCGTTGAGTAGAGGAAGGGACTGGCTGAGCGTCAGGACATCCTTGCAGAATCCCTGGTGGCCATCGATGGAGGCGATGTGGAGGCAGGTGTTACCCTGCTGAGTGGTTCCAAGAAGCACCCATGGATTGTGAGAATCAAGGTCCTTCATTAATCTAGCATCGCCAGTTACGGCTGCTTCCAGAACCCGTCCATCCATCGGCGTTCCTTCTGACGAACTAACCGAAGCCTAATTGCAAATAAAAACACTATCAACTGTTTGCAAACCTTCCGAATAATGACCTATATACTGCAGAAAAGAATACTTAGCAAACCATTGTTTGGACCTACAGATTAATGTCATGGAAAGAAGTATCTGTTAGTATATTTTTTTACAGTCACATACAGAGAAACAAAATACTTACCGGGTTGTTGTTAATATTTTTTTCTGTCACCTAGAACGGACGCTATCCACGTTAGCCCTCTCCTCCGTGCTGAATGCAGAGCAGTTTCTCCACTGTTATCTGCCATGTTTATAAGATGGTGAAGCTGCTGAGACCCCAGGACATATTCTACAAACTGCCTGACCATTTAATACAGCTACATGAAGACATGTCAAGCCATTTGCATCACAGTAGGGAGCATCGGGACAATGCTTAAGCAGCTCTCGAGCAACACCAACATGGCCCTTAGATGCCGCGATACAAAGAAGAGGAAAACCATATGTGGAGATTAGGTACCCTAAAAATGGATCATGTTCCAACAGTACTGTAAGCACGTCGACCACTCACTTTCTTGTCTGGCTAGCCAAGGACGCATCTCCATAATCCTTCTAACGATAGCTGAAACCAAATGAAGTAGCAGAAAATGGTTGAGAACCATGGAACGATGAAAGCTAGCTGACAATAAGTAATGGTTGTACTCTAAAGAAGACTTCACGTTAATTCTCAAAAGTTGTGTTTATGCAAAAAAATAAATCCTAAATTTGAAAGATATTTTAATATAACCCCATATTTTTTATATAAATTATCCACCTCTGTTGTTATAAAAAATTATGCTCCTCTGTCCTCAGTATCTTCCTTGAATCCTTCCTCCTATGCACCTATGACTCTACTCTCTATCATCTTCCTTATCTCTACTACTTTCCCCTCGGCGCCTAGGAAACACCTAGGCGCTCCTAGTCGTTTCTAGGCTCTAGGTGGAATTGGAGGTTACCGTTTAGAGAGCGTCTAATACCTTTTTCTAACCTTGATCTAAGTTATCCATTCCCGATGTAATAAAAATAAATTAAAATATATTCTAAATCTACAAATAAATACTAATATAATTTATTAACAAAAATAGCCTAATAACCCTATGCTATATTTATATTTCTAAATAACATATTTCTACCACATTTATGCTATATGTTCCGCAGTGTAGACTAAGTAATGATCTACTTCAGGATTAATTTTTGTTTTACTAGTTTATCAAGCATGGAAAATATTCCTTTAACAAACCACATATCAATATTAAAGACACAAACAATACACTTTAAATTATATTAGTACTCCAGATATTAAATTTTCTATCACTTTATACATTTTGATAGAAGCATTATGACATACCAAGTTAAACATATATATATATATATATATATATATATATATATATATATATATATATATATATATATATATATATGTTTCCATATTACAACTTATATTAATATTAATATTAACATATTAAAAATATAATTAAAGTAAACATACAAGTTGCGTCGTAAGTACGCATGCATACCTATTCGATAAATATATTTGTTATGTTTTAGTAATCATGAAAAATATTTTCATAGCAACATATATACTAACGAATACTAACAAATCATTTAAAATTATTATATTAAAAAACATGACATATAACTTACAAAAGTGGTTATTTAAGATAAATGTATATATTTCAACTAAAATGGTTGACATTAGTCTATATCCTGATAGTATAATCATAGGAGCTCATTTTTCTAAATAAAGACATTATCACACATATAATCCTTGATTAGAAAATTCAAACAACTTGAGAAGTTACGAGGTTAAGTTACGAGGTTTAGTGTAGATGACCAAAGGTGCTGTAACTGTCTAATCTTTGAGATTAATATCCTCTTGAGAGATTAGCACCGCTACCCCATCTTAGATATCCCTTTAGAGTCTAGCACCGATCATAAGCATTAGTGTATAGATCTTAAATAACCATTATGCCTTTATAGTACCGAGGAATGCATTTTACAACGTAGAATCCTTGTTTTAAATAAAATATAAAAGAATGGCTAATAAAAGATAAAACATGCACATGAATTTCATTATTTTAAATAAAATATAAAAGGATGGCTAATAAAAGATAAAACTTGCAAATGAGTTTAAGCTTAACTTGAGGATAAAAAATCTGTAACTAAGAATAAGATTAAGAACTAAAAGCTACGTAACTATCTAGATTCATTGTGTCAAGATACAAGGTAAGACAAGAGCCATCATAGTTTAAGCTAATGTTTCAACTGAACGCACCATCTTCAAAATACAGAAATATTTTGTCAAATCCACATCTATATTATCAACATTATCTATTATGGATGGAAAAATATTAGTACTTCCTGCGTTCCATATGGTAAGTTACTTTGGCCTTTTATTGATGCTGAATTCTTGTAATGTATGACATAGTATGTATCTAGATAAATAAAAGAAACTATATATCTAGAAAAACCAAAACTGCTTACAATTGCAAACAGAGGGAGTAGTTGATTAGTTATCCCAAATAGTGACTAGAGAGCACTCTCATTCTCTTTAATAAGACGCACATGCATATCGATATTTAAACTTTAAAATATTTAACCAGTAAGCTAATAATTTTTAACTATTATAATATGAAATTGATACGGTTAGATTTGTAATCAAATTTACTATCCAATAATTATAAATTTATAAGTGTAGACAATATAATATAAAACAAATGAATGATCAGTGTAATTTAGGAGAATATGTATTTCATACTGCGCCTTATAAAACGAAACGGAGGGAGAACCTATTAAGCCAATTGCGTTCGAAAATGAACAAAAAGTAAAAACTTGCAATCTAATATAAATAACTTTTATTAGTCATAGATATTAAACAGTAACGTCTAATGCTTATGTCTCCTAAAATTCTAGCCCCGGCGGGAGCAAAGGTTGATGGATAACTTTGTGAAGAATACAGAGAGTTCGAGGATGCATATTAATCAGTTAGCCGCATGGGCATTCGTACAGCGAAAGTCTCACCTATATTTTCATTTCTGACAGCACCATGGAGAACATTGAAGCCAAATGCTCCAGAATCAGAAGAATATGGAATCTCCAACAATTTTGTGGAACACCTCTGTAAAATTTCTCACTGCCGCAATGAACAGAGGTGACTTCTTGTTGTTAGATAATCTGCTGTATCCCTGTGTGAACACACGGCAAGGGAAGACGGCGCCGAAAAGGCTTCCTGTTGTGGTACTGTAGCCTCGGCAGGGGTAGGCGCCGAACGGCTCACCTGCCGCACTGTAGCCACAGCAGGGGCAGGCGCCAAAGTCAGCCCTGCTGTCACATCTAGTCGCTGTAGCAGCATGGCAGCTATACTAGGACTAGATGGATAGAGTTGTATATATAGTTTGCCACTGCAACTCAGTAACAAGAGCAAATTCAGTTTTGCCATCTCCTTTGCAGAGCTTCCTGCCAACGTTGGTACTTGTGCCGTGTGTATGTGCTATGTTCTCCCTCCCTTCTTCTACCTCTAGCCATAGTGTGTGGTCGGCAACACTGGTGAGTGGTCGACTCATCCGTGCCAGTGATCCTGTGGGCTAACACTTGCGACTGTCCACAGCTTTCGACAAGGTAGGCAGTGCCTCTATCAGCTCGAGTGCCAAAGATCTCGTGTCCTCTCTGCGGATGGCATGGTGCGGTAGCGTTGCATCCGTGCTTGTCTTGCTTGAGATTATCTCACTCACCGTTGGTAGTAGCGGCGATACTCGAGTAAAGCGAAGCTAAAGAAAGCGCAGCCCTTGCCATCGCGATGAGCGGCGGCGTCTCGCCGTCTTTGTTGACGGTGGAGGAGAGCGCCGAGCCGGAGAATGGTCCGGCGTCGGGATATTCTTGCGAAGTCCTCGTGGCTCGGATGGAGGCGATGTGGAGGCAAGTGTTTCCTTGTGGAGTTGTCCCGAGCAAAGACGCGGGCCATCAAGAGCCGATGGTTGCTTCATTGATGGAACATCACCGGATGTGGTGCTTCCAAAAGACGCCGGTCCATAGACGCTTCTGTGACGAACTCATGATACGTGTACCTTCAGTGCGATCAAGATTCTTTTTTTGGTATGCCCGACGCGACGTGAAAAACCTGGATTCTAAAAGCACGTCATATAGTACCAGCAATTAGACTCCTAAAATTGTAACAACGCATTATAATATCAAGTATTTAAGTGTTCCAATGATCTTGGCAAAAATATATTTTTATATCATCTTTTGTTTTATTTGTTTTTTTGTGAGATTTTGTTTTGTTTGTATCGTGCCAGCTTTTTTTTTTTTTTTGCCTTCAACTCAAAACAATTCTATGAAGCTGTTTTGGTAAACCGTTCAATAGAAAAACAGCTCCTTTTGGTCAATGAAAAAAATGAAATAGTCATTATACCCTTCTTCATTCTTTTCTTCCTTTTTTTCCTTTTCATCATCTCCACTTTCTTCCCCACGCCAGCCTTTCTTCTCCTTTCTCTCAACGCCTCTCTTCCCCACAGCATCAACGCCTCCCTTCATGCCCCACTATCCTTGGTAGCACCCCTGTGCCCGCACGCCTTTATGCCCTGGCCCTTGCTGCACTACCACCCTTCCCGTGCAGGCACGCCGCCTCCGCCCCCCGCCAAGACACATGCCCATCCCCAACAAAGACAAGACATCTTGCTTGTGTCACAAACCCTCCCAAAGACGAAGTCTGTGACCCTGCCACGCCCCATGTTGGCCTCACACCGCCATGGTCTTGTGCTTTCGCAGAACGAACCATGGGGGACAAAGCCCATCATGGCCGCAATGGACACCCTAGGAGAAACCAGATATTTCAGCTCTTGCTCTCCCTCCTGGCTTGTCTCAGTGGAAATTATGGGGCTCATGGCATGAAACTAACAGCTCTGATCTGCTTTGTTCATATAATCTGTACCAAATGGGTACTAATTGATGCATTTGACCAG